CCCCCCCTCGCCCCCCCCCCCTCGCGCTCTTTTTACCCTCTGTCCTCCGCCCTATCGGCCGTCTCGCTCGATCTCGCTTTCCCGGCAGGTTTACGTTTTAAGTGGCCCACACGCGTTACGATCTATCAACCTACCAGTCGTGTCTCGCAGTTTGTCTCGTCGAACCGTATCCGACCCGATCCGACCCGATCCGACCCGACCCGACCCGACCCGACCCGACCGCCCGCCTTTGACACGGCGGTGCTTGCGGTTTTGTCGTCGAATTTGTTTCCGCTGGCGCATGCTAGACCACAGGTCGGATCGGTTTCTCCCTATGCGACCATCCTGCGAAACTAAAACGTGGTGGAACCCGAATCCGACGATTTTCGACGCGTATCCGTCGGTTTTATCGGGAACCGAGGCGACGCGTTCCAAGCTTCTCGTTGTCTCCCGATATCTATGCAGGTTCCTTTTTTTTCGGCGCAGGTTTTAATCGTTGCTATTGTTTTGCTCGCGTTCTATCGAAAGCTTTTAAATCGTCGGAACAGCTTGTCAACAAAAATAGAAAATTTGGAAAGAGGATAGATACGATTGTTCGAGAGCTTCGCGGCTCGTTCTCGTGGCCGCCGATTGTCAAACGGCAATAAAAACGAGCCGCGAGGCTCGAGTAATTGCATTTTAGATTTATGCGAATTGTCCCAGATTTAGCGATTACGATTCGCTTGGATCGCGAAATTCGAGTCTGCCGGACCGGTCTACCGAAATTCGACGGCAAATAACGCGGCCAGGAAAGTGTTCAATGAGCTTTGGAACGGAATATCATCCCGCGTGTATATTCGTCAAAGGCCTCTTAAATATTCATCCGACTAAGATTAGAAACGGCAGGCTAACGAAAGTTTCATCTTGGACAGGGAGCAAGCACGGGAGAGAGGGCCGCAGCGACGAAGGGTGGCTGGCAGGGGGAAAAAAGGGCCAGTGGAACCGAGCAAGATTAATGAAATATTCACGAGATTAGTTGTATCCGGCAGAGAAGTTCGGATCGCAATCTATTCCTGTGCTGTCCGAGAGTGGGCTCTCTCTCTCTCTCTCTCTCTCTCTCTCTCTCTCTCTCTCTCTCTCTCTCTCTCTCTNTCTCTCTCTCTCTCTCTCTCTCTCTCTCTCTCTCTCTCTCTCTCTCTTTCTCTCTCGCTCGCTCTATCTCGAAACGCTTTACACACGCCGTCGATGTTACTAATTTCTCTTCTGCTTTGAAAAAGTTACCCTTATATACATAGCAGCACCCTGAAAAATTGATGCCGGGACGATGGAAAACGTTTCCCTTTGCATTCTCGATGCGCTCCTGCGATTTAATTCGCGACTCAAAAAATTAAATGTCGCGGTTTCAATAAAGTATTGAAACCGTCGAACACGTCTTCTCTATTAATACTTTGTGTCGCGTCGCTGGATGACGATTGCAGAGTAGAGGTAAAAGTATTCTATCAGAATGCTGTTGCATAATATTATTAACAATAATAATAAAAATAATAACGATTGGTTCAAGAATTCGTACGTTGTACATAATTTGTGAGCAAAAAGAAGTAATAAAATTTAAAAAAATGTATTTGAAGTAACAAAAAAGAGTGTTAAACAAGTTGGAACCACACCGATTACTTCGATGCAATAATAAAAAAAATTCCAACCAACTATCAACGACAAATTTAATTTTGTAATAATTAAAAAAAAAAAGACTTAGCATCAGATATTCCGCTGACACCCGTCGTTGCGATTGATGGATGCCAGGGAGCGGAGTTTAATCACGAAGATCATCTCCGGTTTTCATCACTTGCTAAATCTGATCAGTAGTACACCCACTGAATGACTGCCGAGAGCTTCTCTCGCCTAGAAGATATGGGCTTGCTCGCACAACTTCAACTGCGGGAAAAGCCTCTCGGTCGCGGACATCTACCGGCGATTATGGGAACTAGCACGAGATACGCGCGTATATTCCGTTCGAATCGAAGTCGCTCGTATCGTCAACTCGTATGCGAGTTCCGATGACGAGCGAACGATTTTCCATCGGTGGAAGAATTTTTGGGAATTTCGAGAGATCGATTATTTATCGGGGAAATCAAACGATGGCGGCGATTCTTAAAAAATGAGGGCGTTTCTTTAAAAAAAAAAGACGCTGTATCCGACGACACGCGGCAGTCTAAAGACCCACCCCTTGTTATATGTGTCATATTATGTCAAATGCTTCGGTTTAACACATATAGTTTATTAATTGAACGTTAGAAACGTAAGCGTTCGAATACCTTCGTGTACGAGCGTATGTACATGCGTCTCCTGTTAAAAAACTTACGAGCGCACGTGCTCGCGCACAGAGGCAACGCGCGGCTTCCGAAAGAAGCTCCGCGGGATCCGATCGCGTAAATGTTTCATAAAGCTGCATCGGTACGCACGGTATGCATAATGCATCGCGCGGCGCGCGTTCCCGGAAGCTGCGTCGCTCGGTCAGGAGATTTTTATTCGCGTCGCGCGCAATTATTGCCCGCGAGGAAAGTAAAACGGAATGCGACAAGAAATCCTCCCCTCCCGATTCCGAGCGAGGTTTCTACCGGGGGCGTCGTCCGTCGTTGCGGCGATTTTCGGGGCGAAAAAAATCGCATAAAAAATTAAACGCCCCCGGGTGGGCTCGAACCACCAACCTTTCGGTTAACAGCCGAACGCGCTAGCCGATTGCGCCACGGAGGCACTCGTAGACCTTGATGCTTTATTTCATGGTATATGCCCGAGGCTCTCCGTTTCTCCCCACCGTCGCCCAAGCGAATCATAGTTATCGCGTAACAAGATTATCTCTCTCGCGTTTATCCGCGTACGGGGATAAAAGTTGATTAGCCGATCCAACGGTTGAAACGCGTCGAGGATTTACAGCCTGCGCGACGCGACGACTTAAAAAAGTGTAGACGAATGCACGGCGATCGGTGTGCACGTGTCGAGAACATTAATTTCGCCGAGCCGCGACACTTAACGCAATTAATAGCTGCAGCGCGACCGGCATCGGTCATCGATGCGAATATCGTGGCGAAGCCTTTCGCGAATCGAACGACGATGAAAAAGCCGAGCCGTTTAATAACTGCGGAACACCTGCCTGCGTTCCGGAACGCCGTCGAAAGAACGGCGATTAACACCTTCCGCGGATCGGTGGCAATAAGGAGGCGAACCTTTGGCCGGAGAACGGCGGCACGAGTGCTCGACAAACGGTGCGCGAGGACGAACAGAAGGAAGAGATTGAGAAGGGAATGAGAAGGGGGATGCCGAGGGAACGAAGGGGGCAGACGGGGGTGAAATGGGACGAAGGGAGACCAGTGGGCGAACGTGGAAAGTCATTATCGCGACAGAGGAGATCGGAGGCAATCGCGGCAGGTTCGAGAAGCTTATCGGTAAGCTGCAGGCGGAATTGAGGGAGCCCTCTGGCCGTTTTGCAATACACCGGCGAAAGAACAGGTCGAACTTTCGCCCACGTATAAACCCTTCTGTTCCGTTTCTCCTGAGAAAGCTCCCCTCCCGGCTTTTAGCCAGTAATTCCGGCGGTCTTTCCATGGAAACGTTGATTCCACGTTGTTCGACCGTGAGTTCGATCAACCCTTCGTTTCTCTCTCTCTTTTTCTCTCTCTCTCTTTCTCTCTCTTTCTCTTTCTCTCACCCTTTCTCGCTCCTTCCCACCCTTCCCTCTCCATTTCCACGCCTCCATCTCCATTCCTTTTAATCGGTTCCTTCTGTGTTCTTCGATCGAACGTTTCGAGCACATCGCGAGAACGTTTTGTCATCCGAAGAGGATACGTTCGGCTGTAGAAAAAAAGCACCACCCACGCTATCAATATTTTCCATCGGCTTTTAATCCTCGAACGATGCACCGTGCACCACCAATTCTGGCGGTACAGTAATGTCTCCCTAATCGACGCTCAGATTGTGCACAAGAATGGACGATTTGGGAAGAGGAGATACGATTATTCGAGCCTTGCTCGTTTTTACAGTTGTTGGCAATCGATAATCATAAAATACGAGCCACAAGGCTCGAACAATCGTATCTCCGCTTCCCAAATTGTCCATTTTTCCAAAATTGTCTATTTCCGTGGACAATCCGAGCGTCAATTAGAGAGAGACGGTACTGTATTTCTGAATATAAATCAGCGAAATAACGCGACGCGATAAATATCGATGCAACCAATATATTCAATATATATTTTCGTAGAAATAAATCGCATTCGCAATTTATCAGACGATTCACGAAATGTTCCAGCGATGGATTAACAGTTCATCCTCCGTCAGAGTCGACGGCACAAAGATAAAGTGTCCCGTTTCGGATAAGGGCCGCGGAGGGTTTCCCGTTCGCGCGGTTAATTTGCATTTTCGCCGCCGCCGTCGCCGCCGCGGATCGGCGAGACGAAAGAAGGGAAAAGATCGCGTCTCGAGAAACAATGGGATTATCGGCGATCGCCTCGTTTCCCGCTCGAGCGGCTTCGATAACACGATCATCTACCGCGTCGCCGAGAGATGCGGATTCCCCGGGAGCAGAATCGAATCGCGTCTCGTTGCGAAAACCGAGTGTCTAGACGAGCGAGAGAGAGAGAGAGAGAGAGAGAGAGAGAGNGACCGTGAGTTCGATCAACCCTTCGTTTCTCTCTCTCTTTTTCTCTCTCTCTCTTTCTCTCTCTTTCTCTTTCTCTCACCCTTTCTCGCTCCTTCCCACCCTTCCCTCTCCATTTCCACGCCTCCATCTCCATTCCTTTTAATCGGTTCCTTCTGTGTTCTTCGATCGAACGTTTCGAGCACATCGCGAGAACGTTTTGTCATCCGAAGAGGATACGTTCGGCTGTAGAAAAAAAGCACCACCCACGCTATCAATATTTTCCATCGGCTTTTAATCCTCGAACGATGCACCGTGCACCACCAATTCTGGCGGTA